TTGTAATACATATTGCAAACATCACTCTTGTTCTTAGTGATACAAACTAAAATAATTTATAAGACACATATAATACATGTTTTATTCATGAATAATACAAGTTTAATTCAGTCTATAGATTATTGTCTTGTCTTTCGTTAGTTACGTTTTTCATTTATTGTTAATTTTCTCTTCTAATTCAACTTTAATATTGTGTAATACACTTTTAATGCAATTTTGTTTTTTGTAGTTTATTATTTGTTACTGTTAGATTACTTGTTTAATTCATTATTGATATAAGTTTAATTCACTCTATAGATCATTGTTTGGTGTTTCATTAGTTACATTTTTTATCCATGCTTAATTCAACTTTAATATTTGTGTATGCACTTTTAATACAAGTTAATTCATTTTGCAGTTTATTGATTGATTTGTTATGATTGAATTACTTCTTTAATTCATTATTAATACAAGTTTTATTCAGTTTACAAATCACATAATGCTCTTTCGTTTGCTACATTTTGCATTCATGTTTAATTCGCTTTTAATTCAACTTTAATATGTGTGTAATACATTTTTTATTCAAGTTTAATTCATTTGGCAGTTTATTATGTTTCTTCATTTGTTACAATTAGATTACTTGTCTAATTAATTATTGATACAAGTTTTATTCAGTCTACGAATCATTGACTGCTCTTTCGTTTGCGATTAGTTTGGATAGGTTGTTCCTACAAATAGTTGAAAATATCGTTTGGAGTTTATATCGCAATTTTAAGAGGGTTTGGTTAAGTTTGAAATTGATTTTAGGAAAAAATTTGGATTGAAGCTCGAAAAGGATGAAGTTTACGGAATTATATCACATTTGTATTAACGTTGTATTAGATATGTTTCATAACTGTATTAAAATTCTATTAAAATCATGAACAATACATCCTACATTTATAATACATATTGCAAACTTCATTCCCTTTTTAATGATATCAGCTAAAATAATTTAGGTAACACACTTATAATACATTTATAATACATGCACAATACATTTTTAATACATATTGCAAACATCACTCACATTCTTAGTGATACAAACCAAAAGTAATTTATAAAACACATATAATACATGTTTTATTTATGAATAATACATTTATAATACGTATTGCACACTTCACTCATTTCTTACGGATACCAACAAGAATAATTTAGGTAACACACTAATAATACATTTATAAGACATGTACAATACATTTTTAATACATATTGCAACTATCACTCATTTTCTCAGTGATAAAAGCAAAGATAATTTATAAGATACATATGATATAAGTTTTATTCATGAATAATATGAGTTTAATTCAGTTTATAGATTGTTGTCTTGTCTTTTGTTAGTTACGTTTTTCATTTAAAGCAATTTCATTTATTTTGCAATTTTTTGATTTATTTGGTACTATTGGATTACTTGTTTAATTCATTATTAATACAAGTTTAATTTACTCTATAGATCATTGTAATATATTTTGAATTCAACTTTAAATGTGTGTAATATATTTTTAATTCAAGTTTAATTCATTTTGTAATTTATTATGTCTCTTCATTTGTAACGATTAAATTATTTGTTTACTTAATTAATTATTGATACAAATTTTATTCATTCTACGAATCATTGACTACTCTACGAAAAAAAGTAGAGAGAACAGAAAGAGAGAGAGAAGGAGCAGCAAAAGGAAAGCAAAAAAAGAAAAAACAACAAAAAGAAAGTAAGAGAGAAAGAGCAACAAAAAGAAAGGAGCGTGAAAGAGAGAAAAAGTAAAAAGCTGAGAGACAAAAAAGTGAAAGAGGCGAGACAAAGAAAAAAATAATAAAATATATAGTATTGTTTTATATTGCTATAAATGGTAATAATTAAAGAGTATGTCTAAACTAAGTAATTATTTTTTAAAAAGGATTCACTCAAGTAATTAATCCAATTATTATTTGGCCCATGGACCGGCCCTACCTATATTTCTCAATAACCACAAATCAGCAGGCTTATTCAGGCCGCTGGGCTAAAAAAAAAATTCTTAAATGGGCTCCAAAAATCTTAACCCAACCCTATTAAATCACGTATTAAGTCAGGCCGACCCCAGCTCTACTGTGATCAGGGTAATACTAATCCTTTTTTTCAGTTTTGAAGATAAGTCTTTACATAAATATTGCTATTAACTAAGTACTTTCTAACACTACTATATATATATTCTGAAGTATCAAGGATTCCAAGAAATTAATTTTCACAAATTCAGATTGCTATTAATAACTTTACTAAGAATAATATATTTCGAGTTGTTCTATTTTAGAATTTTTGTGTTGTGCTCACTTGTGATAGATTATTTTCACGAAATGGAATGTTAAGTTGTGTCCATCCAAATAACATACAGCTTGCTAAAGGGATATACAGAAACTTACCCATGAGATACAGAAGCAGTGACAGAATGGTCCCTGGGTAGATTCAAGTGCAAAAAATTTAGAATGAGCGATGAATGGAGAACTTAAAGTATATGTGAAGAAAAGTAACAATTACAACACATAAAGAAATTAAATTATGGTGAGTGAATCCATTGTTTTCCTAATTTCATACGTATCTGAGGATGGAAAACATTTTTTAATCAAAGAGCAGAACATATATAATTGAAGACGTCTTACTTATCCTTCCTCTATAATGCAGGTGCTTAAATACGTAATACTCAAGTAGCCACAGACTGATCCCTGATTAGATTAAAGTGCAAAAAAATTAGAATGAGAGGTCAATGGGGATTTAAAAAATTAAAAGTATATGTAGAGAAAAGGTTGAGTCCTCACTGAAAATCCGTTCAATATCACCTACAAAATCATGTAGAAATAAAATCGTAGTGAGAATCCATTGTTTTCCTAATTTCTTAGGATGGAAAAGAATGATAATTAAGAAGCAGAGCATATATAATTGAAGACCTTACTTATGTTTTCTGGAGAACGCCATAGATAATAACGAAGCTCAAATCCGTAGAGGATTGCTTGATGAAAATCAGAAAGGGAAATGTTGTTCTCTGCATCTTTAATATTAGGCCATGAGGTCAGGCCTATAAATTGTACTCTGCATCCATCATTGACTTCTGATGCTTTCGTTTCTCCAATCTTTAAATACGTGTATCTGCTTAATTTGCAGCCACTAATTTCCACAAATGCGGAATTATTAACAGCAAATGGACAGTTGAGCAAGAAGATGGGATCCAAAAATGTTTTAGAATAATCGCAAGTATAATAATGTAAGTCAATGACACTATAGTACTGGTTGATGTTAAACTGAGGTCTGAAAGAGCATAGATCATCTTGTGTTTGTAAAGTTGGATCTACCAGGCGAATTTTCTTGTTATGATAATCGATGCCTTGAACGTGCAACTTCTCGGAGAATAACCACATAACTGTTTGGTTACCTTCACAAGCTAATTCATATCCTGGATAATGGCAATCTTTTGGATCAGTGTTTAAGTGGAAAGGGTCTCTTATGTTACGGATATGGCCACAAGCAGAAGGGGGACAGTAATGGTGTTTGCTTTTCCTAGCATTGCATGTTTGCAGAAAGATGATTAATGTAAAACATTTTAGCAGAATGGTTCCCCTACACAAATACATTAGTACTCTCTTGATTCTTTTCTTTTCTTTCCTACTATTTCCAAGTGATGAAAAGAATTGAGACTTCAATATTAGTATTATGAATGCAGGTGTGTTTGTTGGATACTTGAAGCTGTGTGGACTTTTCATCACCAATTTACTCCTTTGTTTGGTGCAATTTGATGAAGGGCCCTCAACAGGAAGACTTTGCCGTTTACCTATTTGTTATAACCAGTCTCCAGGAAGAGCACTGCAAGTTTATTCCAAACGATAATATATTTATTTTATCTTCTACATAAGTAATAAATTTTAAAAGTGATATGTGCAACATGAAAATTTTGTTACAAAGAAATAACAAATTCTTACCAAATAAATATAATGAATCGAACTTATCACATATAATTATAATTAAATCTTTTCTGTGATTATGATGCCACCAAAATTGAGAGGAAAAAAATGACAAAACATAAACACAATTCAATGTGGTAATACATAATAGATGAAGAAGGAATCAAATAAAAAAAGAGACTTTGATATCAATAATTGAACACTACATTTCTTATAATTTATCTTATATTATCCAATGTCTTTATTTATTGTTTGTCCTTTGTAAGACCAACTTTTTCTTCATTCAATATGAGGAAATGAAAAGACAAGAGTTTTAAAAATTATTTTGTAGAAATGAAGGGTTTTTAGACCATCATCTTTTCATTCTTATCTTTTTAATGTCTTTGTCATTTAATTACATTTTAGATTTGATTCAACTTTTAACTTAACACATTCACAGTTTTAGTAATTAGTATAATATATAAAATATTATTTAATATTTAATTTAGCCTAGGGATAAAATGATAATCTAAGTTTCAGGAGCTTCTTACTTTTGATATACTAGATAAATAAATATAATTATAAACATAAATGAATAATTAAAAAAATTATATATATGTGTGTGTTTGTGTGTGTGATGATATGATATATAGTTGACCTCAAGGTGTGTTTTTATAAACAATGACCGCAAGCTCAAACGGGGATGGATGTGGCTCTGATAGCATGTAAAGATATGTCACATGCGCCTAACTCAACCCCAAAACTAGCTCATGAGAGAAAGATTGCTCAAATTCATATAAGCAAACGATCAATCATTCCCCAACCAATGTGGACTCTAACCCAGTCGAATAAGAAATCATCACACTGCTATTATGCGGTATTGGCTCTGACATTTTTGGTCAAGAAGTATCAGCTAGGAGCCATTGTCGTCTTCTCAAATAACAAGACATATATACATTATGCGGGATGAAATAGCAGGGAGATAGAACATACAAAGAAGATGAATGCACAAAATATTCCTTCTGAATCACATCAATGATAGCACAGTAATTTACAATGGATTTCAATTAAGGATATGGAAAAGGAATGATTGGACTATTACATTGATGATGAAAAAAGAGATTTTTGAACCCACAATTGTATGTAATGAGAAAAAAAGACCTAATTATACTCTTTATCTTACACAAAACTTACCAAAAAAGCAAAAACTGAGAAAGTATACAAGAGAAAATTGTGAACCTCTTGTAGTAATATACACTTCTTGAGGGCGACACCATCAACTACCGGGGATCTATCATGGTAACTGTAACTTGATTGACAGTGCAAGTTTCTTCATAATTAGTCGAATATGAATCAGAATCAACGGGTCTTCTTCCAAGGCAAAATCCTGGGTTTTTAGGCTGAGGTAGTGACGCGCTTTCACTGCCTAACATCAAAACCACAGTGGCCATGTTTGGTCTGTCTTCCGCTTGTTCCTGGACACACAACAGTCCAACCTGTATGCATCTCATTACTTCAGACGGAGAAAACGATTCTCCAAAAGATGGATCTAGTAACTCTGAGCCGCTCCCTTCTTTCCATTGTCTCCACGCCTGCATAATCGATTACTTTGTTTATCAGAAATGAATCAAATAATGAATGTATTACCAATAATGAAGCTTACATGTCCAAGAAGGTTGAGTTGGTTATTTTGATAATAGAATCCCCTGTTCTTCTTCCCGGTTACTATTTCTAACACCAAAACCCCAAAGCTGAAAACATCGGACTTAACAGAGAAGAGGCCATCCATTGCATATTCCGGAGACATGTAACCACTACATCAAAACAAAAAACAGATTTAGTAACAGCTTTAAAGGTTCTATGAATTATGTGAAGAAATTATGTTGAGTGCTTACTAGGTTCCAACTACTCTTTTTGTATTTCCTTCAGTCTCATCTCCGCCAAATATTCTTGCCATGCCAAAATCTGATATTATTACATATAAAATAAGTTTTGGGGGCATGTTACTACAATCCACAACAGGCTCTTGGAAGCAATCTTTTTTCTCCAAATCAAATTCAGGGAATTTTTCTTTGAGCAATGGAATTAACTCATCAACAGGTCCGAGATATAGTGCTTGAAAAAACATTAAAACATACTGGTCATTCCCTGTTCCATCATTTTGGATAACTGTTCTGATGAACAAACCATCAGGTAGTTGATGTGATGTGTTTTGCCATTTTTGGAGTAGATTTTGGTTACTGTCTAACTTCTTGTAAACAGTGAAAACAGTAACCTTGTCCGGAACACGAACAAGTTTGAGTTTCCATGCTAAAATAACACCAAAACTTGCTCCTCCACCTCCTCTTATTGCCCAAAACAAATCTTCTTTCATTTTCTTCCTATCAAGAATATTTCCATTTACATCCATTACGTGAGCATCTACAACGTTATCAGATGCTAAGCCAAATTTCCTCATCAATGAACCGAGCCCATCACCACTGATGATTCCACCAGTGCCAACAGTAAAGCAGACACCGCCTGGAAATGCATGAACTTTACTTTTCTTGGCAATTGCATAGTAAAGCTGGCCGAGAGTCTCCCCTGCTTGAGCCCAAACTGTTCCTTCTTTTAAATCAATCTCGATTTTGTCAAGATTGCTTAAATCAAGCATAACAAACGGGGTTTCAGAGCGAAAAGATATGCCTTCATAGTCATGGCCACCACTTTTTATTTTAATTTGCAATCCTAATATTTTTGCACAGAGAATAACCGGCTTGATATCTGATTCTTTTGTAGGGGAGACTATGAAAATAGGATGTGATGAATTCATCCATCTCGGATTTTTCTGAGCATATTCCAGGACAGACGAATAAGTTGGAGAATTTAGGGTGTAAATGTTTTGTGTAACGTTGGTTTCAGAGTATTTAGAAAGACACTGGACTAAATCTTCTTCTTTGGAGTAATAACATTTGGCCAAAAAAAGTAAAAGAGAAAGAATTTGAAGGCTTGCCATTTCTATTAGAATAGAAAAAGATAAAACATAATAGAACGAAATTTCTATAATGAGAATGACAAAGAATGAGCCATCATGCTAGGAGGGGAAAGAAGATGAATTTGATCTTGAGGTATCCTTTCAAATGATCATATTTAAGTAATAAATATTTAGTGTAAATTATTTATTCAAAAGTTTAGAAGAAAAAAAAAGAAATTTAATCAACAGCTTGGCACATGAAACTTGAAAGTACACATATAAATCTGGATTTTCCGCTGGCAAGATTAGTGTTTTAATTTATTTTATACAGATGCCTCTATTTTAAAATTAATACATGGGAGCATCGAATTTCTCCCACTTGTACTTTATAATTACTCCCTCCGTTTCACAAAGAATGACTTCCTTTTCTTTTTAGTCAATTTCAAAAAAATGACTTCTTTCCTTTTTTGGTAACATTTTACTTTTTGCTTTCCACGTGACATGTTTAAGACTACAAGATTAAGGGCAATTTTGTACATTTGACATAACTTTAATTTAGGACCACAAGATTCAAAAGTCTTCTTTAATTTCTTAAACTTTGTGCCAAGTCAAACCAGACCAATCTTTTTGAAACGGAGGGAGTATTTAAGTAGAGCGGTTTCCACGTGTTAAAATAATTATTTAGTGTTATTAGGTAGTGCTATAAGTTATAACACACGCTTGAAGTGTTATATTAGGTAGTGTTACAACATACTCTTGAAATTCTCCCATTTCATATTTTTTGATATTCTCCCCTTCTTCTATGATTTATGTTGGTGTAATATACTTCAAATATAATAAATTATCGTTGAAAATAAAATGATAAAAAGGAATAAAAAAATATTTAGGCTGAGACGCGGATATCTCATTCTCTTTAAGGGGATTCAAGTCCACTACGACATATAATCTACACCAATCCAACAGTATTACTCTTAACTTGTCCTCTACAGGATACAACAGCCTAACAACGTTGTACAATATAAATTATTCCAAATTAGTTAAGAGTCCAAAGGTCCGCATAAGAACATTTTCTTTCAACATATAAATACTCTCTTTTATATAGTGAATATAGTTAAAGACTTAGAATACTTACTTTGTCTCAACTCTCTCTTTCACTACTATACCCAACACAAGGGAAGATGCACAATTATTTATAGGTAAAGACGTCTTTCATGTAATCAATTGGTAGAATGAAGGGTAGTAATGTTTGCAAATGAATGTGATAGATGTTATATAAGTTATAAAAAATTAATGATCATATGATCAGTTACAAGAACTAATGGACATATATATAAGTTATCAAGAATTAATAGTCATCTTCTACCGCAATTTATATCCACTAACATATGCATTTAATATTTTATTTTTAATAATCTAATGCATACACACCAACAATTTCTATATTTTCTTGCAATTCCAAGATAGCAGCTTTAGGCATTTTAATTAACTTAACTTATCACGGACTTGGACTGATATGCATTCCTTGAGAAAATTTCGTAGATGGTTATCCAAGTTTACATTCATTTCATAAAAGTCACCCTTTTTTTACAAACAAAAAAGATCATTTTACTTTACTCCAGCTATCTCAAAATTAACACTCACTGGATTTTATAAAACTTCCACCGGAAATGTAACGTGGCAGCCTTAATTATTAATGGATTTGCTTAATTAAATAGGATTAACATACTAAACCAACATTTTACTCATGATAATATATATCGAACACAGGAACCCTTATTTGTTGGTTATAATTTAACCCCAACCTAGCAGTGAATATTGAGAAGTTGGTTATAAATTATAGTGACACTTCCATATTGGTGTCACTTCATTATATATCATTCTATTGTTATTTCAGAAAACGGAATATATAGAAAAACTTATTGTGAGTTTAATACGGAGTAAAAATTGCAAACTAGGATGAATGGGCTAATATGGATTATGATGTTAATAATGGACATAAGTTATAAATATATTCCAAACATTCATCATGATTGAATGTGAATAAGTCGAATGAGTATCTTAGTGAACACCCCCAAACTCAACAAGATACATATATAAATGCTATAAGTTAGAAAAGGTCATTAGTAGTTTATAAAGGATAATTAGTGATCTTTTCCTTAACAACGCTAATTACCCCAAAAATGGGAAGCTCAGCTTAGGCTCTTTTGGGCTGTTTACAAGCAGGAATTTCATGTTCATAGTTTCCAACTTTCAAGTTATAGAAAAGAAAAAGACTTCACATTATCAGAGTTTGTTATCTGTATGTTTGTCTTTTGAGATTAGGTCATGATCTTC